TGTTACATGATGTAAAGAAGTATCTCTCTAAGAACTTTGAAATGAAAGATATGGGTGAGGCATCTTATGTGATCGGGATAGAAATCTTTCGCGATAGATCACAAGGATTGTTAAGTTTGTCTCAAAAAGGATATATCAATAAGATCTTAGAGAGATATAGAATGGAAAAATGCTCTGCAGGAATAGCTCCAATTCAGAAAGGGGATAAGTTCAGTAAAATGCAATGTCCTAAGAATGAATTGGAGCGTAAAGAAATGGAAAGAATTCCCTATGCATCGGTGGTTGGGAGTTTGAACTATGTTCAGACATGTACTCGACCCGATATCAGCTTTGCTGTAGGAATGTTGGGTCGATATCAAAGTAACCCTGGAATGGACCACTGGAAAGCTGCAAAGAAGGTTCTCAGGTACTTGCAAGGCACCAAAGAAAACATGCTTACATATAGGAGATCCAATCAGCTAGAAGTCATCGGATATTCAGATTCGGACTATGCTGGATGCGTTGATAGCAGAAAATCGACGTTTGGTTACCTGTTCCTGTTAGCTGAGGGAGCAATATCATGGAAGAGTGGAAAGCAGTCTGTCATTGCTACTTCCACTATGGAGGCTGAATTTGTGGCATGCTTTGAGGCCACAATTCATGCATTGTGGCTGCGGAACTTTATCTCAGGGCTTCGGATTGTCGACACTATAGCCAAGCCGCTGAGAATTTACTGCGATAATTCCGCAGCTGTCTTCTTTTCAAAGAACGACAAGTACTCAAAGGGTGCTAAGCACATGGAGTTAAAGTACTTGTCTGTTAAAGAAGAAGTTCAGAAACGGAGAGTGTCATTTGAGCACATAAGGACGGACATGATGGTAGCGGATCCGCTAACTAAAGGTTTACCACCCAAGGCGTTCAATGGCCATGTAGAGCGTATGGGTATTATAGATAAGACTTTGCTATTTTAGTTATGGGATGCTCATTGTGTATTTGACACAAAGAATTCACATAAAGTTATGTTTCTGATTTATTAATTATGTTATCATTAAAGTATACGTATACGCTTATGGTTTGTAGATAACATATGGTTGGTTTGAGAAATAAAGGTTCTTCTCAAATTTAAAGATTAAAATTGGCATTGATTTGTGATACATGGAAGGGACTATGTCGTTTAATGGCATACAACCGCCATGATTCGATCAATTAAAAATTTAGTAAAGATAAGTGAACTTGATATTAGAGTGCACAATAAAGTTATTAAATCCTTAAGTCGACACAAAGGTCAAGTGGGAGAATGTAAGAATATTTTATATTCTATGTGACCTATGTATCTATTGGTTTAATATAAAATTCAAGTTCATATTAATGGTTATAGATTCTAACATAAAAGATAATACCGTGATGGATCGGTTTTGATTAATGATTTAGAATATGGGTGTATTGATAACCCTCCTACTTTACCTTATATTTATAAATGTCTTTAATCTCTTGATCATATATATATATATATATATATATATATATATATGTTAAAGGAAATGATAATGGAATACATTATCATTATTAATGTATATGTGAGTGTATACGTGTAGTACGAAGAGTTGTGATTTGGTCTTAAAGAGTTGTGTTGGTTAAAACACACATCTCTTTGATTAATATAAAAGTGTCTCTTGTACAACATCTTTAAAACGTAAGTAAAAACGTGAGTCACACACAATAAGAATACTGATCATTAAGAAGAGATTAAGGAAGACTTTGTGATTTCTTTTCCATCAAGGAAATCATCAAAGAGAAGGTTAAAGGGGAAAACATCAATTGGTGGGATTGCATCCAAGCATGGATCAAGGTTAGTGTTTCTACTTTTCTCTAGAAACATGTTAGGATTGAATTAAGACAAGTCTAAATTAGATCTTGGTGTTGATTCATAATTGGAATCATAAAATAAACTAACATGAAACTCTAAAACGTATCTAAACCTTCAAGCAACCCTTTAAAAAAAGAGGAGCTCAGGTTTTCTTGAAACCTTATCATGTTTGTTGGACTTGGAACACGTTTTCAGGTCCTTGAAACTTTTCAAACCCAATCCTAAATTTGCGTCTTGACCTCCTATGGCTCAGTTCTCACCGTCTTGACCTCCTAATTAAGGCTCTCTTCCGAATAGGTTGGTCCACGTACATGGGAATCTGTTTTTGCATCTTAGCTATCTGATCACTTAAATGAACTGTCAACTGAACTCCTAATCTGGTTTTCTCCTAATCGGAAATAAAAGCAGAAATTTTCAAGTTCTTAAAGCAAGAAAGCTCTCATTGTACACATTGTTGATTCATTCAGAAGCATAATGCTACTACCACTCGAAAGAATTCTTCGATTATGAAAACAGAGTATCATTTCATTTATAATGATCATTAAGTGTTAGGCTAATTTCTGGTAGCAGACATACTTCACAATTCATACAGACCATGTACAGCTGACGTAGAAAAAGTTCGCATAATGCCACGTGATTGTATTGCATAGTTGTATGTATACGAATATTCCCAGGAAAAAAGACTTCCACATTTAATAATAAAATAAAGCATTCTGACGTGGCAAATAAAGTAAAGAAAATCTTTTGAGTGGCACAGAAAGAGATAACAAAAAGAGACGTGATTAAAGATTTGCAAAAAGCTCACTTTTATTGCCAACAAACATGTGGCTCTCTCATCTCTACATGTCCCTTTCTCTCCTGATGTGTCATCTTCCCTACTTTTTTTCCTCTCTGTGTGGCTCTCTGCGATCCATTCATACCAACCCCATACAGACTTCTTATACGTTATATACTCTTGTCTTACATCTTCGTTTAAAGAATAAACACAAACCATCTTCACTTTCTTCTTTCTTCTGTACCGTACTTGCAACGTTTGTTATGTCTGAACTTAGAGATACCCCGGTCAAATTGTTTGGTTGGACAATTACATCTTCTTTGTCCCTGGTATGTTTCCGAGTTGAATAGCAATACGTTTTTAATATTCTTTAAGCAATTAAAGAAGGATTAAGACCATGTTAATATTTACAATTTCTAGCTAAGTAATGCTAAAAATCTAAACTAAATCTTTTTTTCTCTAGTCTTTAATTAGTTTCATGATGTTTTTTTTCTAATCCAAGTTCCTTAAAATTCTCAGATGAACAACCAATCTGCTCCTGATAACGAAGAACAAGACAGTACAAGTCTAGAGAGATCATCTGATCTCAACGAGGAGTCAAAAGAAACATCTGAGAACAGCGAGATCACAACAACAACAACAACTACATCGGAAGAGAAAACAACTGACATGAAGAAACCAGACAAGATTCTTCCATGCCCGAGATGCAACAGCTCAGACACCAAATTCTGTTACTACAACAACTACAACGTTAGCCAGCCACGTCACTTCTGTAGAAACTGCCAGAGGTACTGGACTTCCGGTGGAACCATGAGGACCGTCCCAGTTGGTTCAGGCCGTCGTAAGAACAAGGGATGGGTTTCTACAGACCATTACATGCACATCAAGTCCGAGAATACTAACAGTTACAATAGCTCCTCGGCGAAAATTCTTAGCTTCGAGTCTTCGGGGGAAGAGTCTTTGGTTACAGAGAATGGTAAGCATCAATCAAGCGACTCTGTTTCAAAAGATTTCAACAACTTCCAAAGATTTCTTCCTCCGCAAGTAACATCCTCTGTTTCGCCTCCTTGGCCTTACCAATACCCTCCTAACCCTACCTTCTACCACATCCCTGTCTACTGGGGATACTCGGTACCGTTTTGGTCTAGTCTAGACCCTTCCACGTGTCTAGGGAAAAGGACAAGAGACGAAGCTTCACATGAAAGTGTTAGAGAGGACAGAGACACTTTTGTAAGAGCAAGATTGGATTCACAGTCTCCATGTACTACCGATGAAGCAAACGTAGCTACGAAAAATCGTGTGTGGTGTCCAGTACCGATGAAACGGGAGAAGACACATCAGTTCAGCTTAGTCGTGAATGGGTCTGAAACAAAGAGCAGCAGCAATAGATTCGTTCCTGAAACGTATCTAAACCTGCAAGCAAACCCTGCAGCCATGTCAAGATCTATGAACTTCAGGGAGAGCGTGTAACGTTTAAGAGGTTTCAGTATAGAATAATCGTTCGTGTGTTTAATTCATGAATGAAGAGAGATTTAGTAGTGTACTGATTGCTACCTTGTAGAGGAAGGTAAAAAAACAAACTGTAGATATTTTTGTTGTGTGGTGAAGCTGCAGATAACTTTTGATATATTTTCTTATTTTTATACCACAGTCAACGTTTTGAATTATGATGTCATTTTAGGTAAATGTGGCTTGAGATAATGCTTGTTCCTTTATTTCTCCCAGTGTACAGAACAATTTGAGAAAGAATAAAGAAAATATGAGTTTATTTTTCTATGTAAAGGAGAAAAACAGAGCACATTAACTATAAGAGCACCTCCAATGGTGTTACCACCATTGGAGTCCTTAGGATTAGATTAATATTTTTTTTTTTTTTAGAATAGTTAAGGACTTCTAATGACAAATGTTGTTACAATGGTGTTATCCATTATGAAATCCTTAGGTATTAAAAAATAAAAAAATTGTAAAACATGTAAATTTAAAATTTTGATTTATTGAATGATAAAATGTAAATGAAGAATTCTGAAAACCAATTTTCCAAAAACTCAAGCACAAAAACATGTAAATTTAAAAATTTTGCTTCTTGTATATAACAACTTAGGAAGTATGAGCTAAGAAACAATACCATCTGATGGTCTACTCATGCATCGTTAAACGTTTGGAAACATACAAGGTTCTCGAATGTTGTAATCTTCAGACCAAGGGGTAGTACACATACCGAAGTAGAAATCGTTTTCTTTGCATCAGTTGCTTGAATAAGGCATCTGTAATTCTCCAGCTGAGCTCAGTTTCCTCTTCTGCAGCCAACCACATCTCCTCTCTCCCCACAACAATGTAAGAAAGAGAAACAAAGGCAATAGATATAAACAAACAAGCACACCACATTAGCTTGTTGATCACAAACACAAGCTTCTTCTTCGCCTTCTGCTCAATCACAACAACAGATGTCTGCACCACAACAACAGCTAAGGATATAAACAACGCCAAGCTGTCAAAAACGAAGAAGACAAGAAACGGTGCTTTGTTCGCTATGTGAGCTTGTCCTAGCAACGCTCCTTTAGATGGATCCTCTTCATATTGGCATGGGATTGTGAAGATGGCTGCAAAGGCCACTGTGGCTATAAGCACAGCTACAACAAATAACACAAATCACATAAAGATACCTCCCAAAAGACAATTCAACAATAACCAAAGATAACAAATATGGACCAAAGAGCCAAACTTACATCTTCAAAGTAACCTAGACAGAACCCTGCAACCGAAGTAGGCTCATGTGTATCGCGAGGACGATTTTGAGTGGTCAGCACCATTCCTGCAACTGAAGCAGCGTTCTGAAGAGTACATCTCGTCACTTTAGCTGGATCAATCACTCCAGCTTCCAACAGATTCTCATAGGTATCAGTCATGGCATTGTACCCGAGCTCCCATTCAACCAGCAAGCCCATGTCAAGGGCTTGGTACTCAGCTCCTGAAGAACAACATTACAAAATCAAAACAAAGTTCAAAACACAACAGGCTTAACAGATATAATACATGAAGAAACGCTATGTATAAGCATATACCTATCAAGATTGCGATATCCTGAAGCATAGCTTTTCTTCTTTCTCCAAATCCTGGAGCCTTGACGGCAACCACGTTGAGGACACCACAGAGTTTGTTCACGACAAGAGTTGCTAAGGCCTCACCAGTAACATCCTCTGCAATAATCAGCAACGGAGCTCGGAGCTGAGTGGTCTTCTCCAAAATAGGGATGATGTCTTTAGCAATGGAATACTCTTTTAGAGCTACAGAATTCCTCAGCTACGCTTCATCCCCTTGTATAAGCTTCGACCATCCTTCATCAAAAACAATTAATCTCAGCTTCACACATCATAAAACAACCCAAAAATATATAAAAACCATTAACCAAAAACCTTGGAGCAAGAGATTGTTCATAGAAGGTAGAGGAGTTGTGGATTCAAGACTGGAGAATCCAACCTGCAACTTCCCACCGGAAATCATCGCCGCTTGAATTGGGAAATAATAAAACTCAAAACTTTGGAGACATAAACACAGCAAAGCTTGAAGACACCAAACCCAGAAATCGAAAACAAAGTTCAAAGCTTTGGTAACCTGAGAGAGAGATAGATAGTGATGGGCAGAAGCAGAGAATGGAGGATGAGTAGGGGATGCCACGTGGATAAGGACTTGATCCTTAAATTGCTTAGCTAAGGATTAATCCTTACCCTCTGCCCTTTTTTTAATATTTTTTTCACCCAATTTGTCTAGGTAATAACGCTAAGGATTGAATAGAACCCAGCGTTGTAGGTGCTCTAAGTCCGTGGTCATAGAATCCATCTAGTTGTTAAGGAATAAAGGCTAAAGGAGGAGCATAAAGTCTAAAGTCTCTTTCTTTGGGGAAAAGAAAAAGTCTCTTCATTGGAGTCTAAAGGAAAAGTATTTGTTGATGTAAATAACGAGAGTGATTTAAAGAAATCTTTTTGTGTTCATGGCATTTGAATAAATACATCAGCAAGAAATATAGTTTTCTCTAAGAAATTATATATTTAATACATACATCTTTCTGTGTGTTCAAAACATATAATTAAAAAATACATACATCTTTCTGTTTTACAAACATTACATGTTTCTCTACAAGCAAGAAATATTACAAGGTGTTAGAACCTTTATGGGCTTGTATGTGGTCAGGTCTCCTGTGAAATATCTTTAACTGAATTTGTTTTTCTATACTGCAACTTAAATTAGCTATATGTATAAAACGATGAAAATTTCTATACTGAATTTCCTACATGAAAATTTGTGGTTATAAAGAAAGATGGAAAATCTTTAGACTTTAGCTTATGTATAAAACGATGTAAATTTAGGAATCCTATTTAAACATGTTCATTACCAATTAATTAAACATTTACCGATTAATTAATTAATTAATTAATTAGCATAATAAGTACATGTTTATCAACTTAGTTACAAAAAACCATCTCTTTAAAGCTTTTAATACTTCTTAAAAACAACAAACCCCCTACATTTACCAATATGATATACTAAAATAACCAATATTCAAAACCAAAACAAATTTTACTCCCAAAAATGCAACTTTTCTTTTATGTCTACAACGTGAAAAAATAGTACTCCTAAAAGAGGAAAAGAGCATGTGGATCCGCGTGATATGAGAGAGACACATAGGTAAAGGAGCTTGAAGAGTAGGAGAAATGGTTTGAAGGGAAGAAACAAATGCAATGTGTGTGTGTGATTTGGTGAGCATGTTTCATGTTTGGCCTTTCTGTTGCATAATCTCTCCCTCAATCTTTGGCAGCTCATCATCTCTTTATACGCATCTTCATCACTTTCTCCAACTCTTTTACTTTCCCTTCTCTTTCTCTCTTCCTCTCTCTCATTGTTTTCACTTATCGCATTAACACGTTTCCACGTCTCTTCTTCCCAAATATTTTACATTTTTTCAAAAAAAAAAAAAAATTGAGTTGGTCTAGTAGTAAAAGAGTTGCCACTATAAGTTCCATTACTTAAATTCAAATCTCCGTGGGAACAGAGACGGAGATATGGTGTTAGGAGGGGATCAGGTGATCCCCATGAAATTTATAAAATTAGTTTAGTTATTATCAAATATTCTATATTGACCCCAACCCAAAATCATTATTGACCCCTATTAAATTTCGTCCAACTACAAACCACGAAAATATATTAAAAACTGAATATATATATATATATATATATATTAGTCTAATAAAATTATTATATTTTATTAAAATAAACCTATTAAAATGAAATACACACAATTATTCATATTAATTAGTTTATATTTTATTTTCCCCCTTTTATGTCTATAGAATGTTTTTGTGTTTATTGAAATCAAGATTAATCCAGGAATTTAGACTAAAAATTATATCCTTTCTTTTGTTCTTTTATAACTTTAGGATTTATTATTAATTAGAATAGTATAAATTCTTAGTTTAAATAACAATATAAGTGGAAAAATCATATACATAAAAAATTACAGTTTTTCATGAATATTTAAAAACTCTTAATTTAAATAAATATATTTATAAATTTAATATTACATATAAAATTTTAAAATAATTTTGACATTTAATTAATATTATAATGTAGTGTAATATACTTTCGACTTTTAAGTTAATAGTATAATGTAAATTAATAATATGACCCCGGTAAATTTTTGTTCAGGATCCGCCCCTGGGTGGAAGAAACTATTTATAATGTTTGAATTTCTGGCAAAGAGGTGAAAACACCCTTAGATCATAATGTGTCAATAAATTCATAATACCAAGAGTTTGTCAAATGTTTCACTAGCTAAGCCGACTACAATCTACATGAGTTTTCTAATTAACGCAAACACAAGGGCACGGCCGCACGGACATGGACCTTGGTTAGTTTGCTTTCTAGCTAGTAGTGATAACTTCTTGATTTTCTTTAACCAAATTAATCACTGTTATTAACTCATTATAACAACACTCAGTTCAAGATTCATGCCGTCCCCAAGCCAAGAAAATCGAAAAAATGTGGTTGCTGCTTTGCCTTCTCTGCCACTTCCTCATCTACTACTTCCATTCCAGTCAAATCGATTGCTTCATTTGGTACTCCTTTCTCTTGGCTCATAGAGTCAACGTACGGGAAATTATATAACGCTTCAGAGGTGGTACCAACATTATCACCGACCATCATTTGATTGCCAAACATACTCACAACCATCGTAGCCTCAGTACTCTCATAACCTAAACGTTGTAGATAGACAAAAGAAACACAATTTAATCAAATATATATGCAAAGGGAGAAAGATAACTGTTGGAGAGGGATTGAACACCCCTCCACAAGGCCCATCGAATGACAGGCTCCGGCCCATTTACGATCGGTCTGGTTAGAGCTTGATTGAAAGAAGAGGTCAAACCGAAAATCGATCGACCGGTTTACTCATTCTAAAAGCCCAACAAGTTCGG